TATTCTTGTGGTGGGCTGGAGTTTGGGAAGGGCCCTCAAAACAGGGCACAATGCCTCCCAACGGTCTCTACAGACACAGGAGGACTTTCTCAGCTTTTTTCAAAGAAAACAGTACCAGGGGTGTGGGGAACCACGTAGGTCTGCAGGCTGCAAGCTGTGCACCCTCCTAATTTAGCTCAGTGATGCCCTACATGGACTGGCAGCACCTCTTCAAGGTTTCATGGAGAAGTTTGCCCAGTCCTGACTCTGGAATTGATCCCACAGCCTTCTGCGTGCAAGGGCTGCTCTGCTAGCAGGGATGTTGGCAAGTAGGGTATAAATGTAACCATATAGCCTGGAAGGAAAGCAGGATATAAATGCAACAAACAAACAAATATTATCTGGGCCTGCTAGCAGGGATGTTGGCAAGTAGGGTATAAATGTAACCATATAGCCTGGAAGGAAAGCAGGATATAAATGCAACAAACAAACATATATTATCGGGGGGGGGCTGGAAATGGCAATCATGTAAAATACCATGTGAAACGCAAACACAAAAGCAAATACATGTATGGCATTTAAGTAACATGGGATCATATTTAGACCTTGCTGAATTTGCCAGTGATTAACGCTCATTAAATTTGTCTCTTGCTGATGCATATTGTATGTTTATTCTCCCCTGTAGATCAGATTGCTGTTCTCCTTATGTGGAGATTGTGATCAGTGATGAAAACGGAAACGCCGCCACTATCGCTATAGACTACAGGCGATCCCGGCCTCCGGCTACTGCCTAGTAAGTCATCAAACACACGTATAAATCAAGCTGTCTTATTTATTGATTTACTTACGACATTTTTACTCTACTCCTTGGCAAAAAAAACCAGAGTGGCTTCAGGCTTAACATTTAAAAGACATAACACAAGAGGAGGAAGGGGAGGGGAGGAAGGAATTATTAATTCATTTATCATTAAACTTAGCTGGCTGCATAGTTCAGTGGTTCAGGCACCTGGCTATGGAGCCAGAGGTTGGGAGTTCGATTTCTCCAATGGTGCTCCTGCGAGTACAGCCAGCCTGGGTGGCCTTGGGCCAGCTGCACAGTTGCAGCAGAACCCTCAGAAGAAAAGGGTAAACCACTTTTGAGTATTCTCTACCTGAAAAATGCTGGAAAAGGGTCACCATAAACAGAAATGACTTGACAGCACATTGTTGTTTTTATTAAACTGAAATGATGGCATGGCTAGCAGCAGGTGGCAGCTGCAAGCCCATCAAAAGCAGCTGGTCTTTCAGGAGAAGCCACAATCTTGTGCTGCTTCTCTGCTCCTTTTCTCTGCTCCACTGTCTCCTGGGAGAGGTACTTCCAGGTTACTGGCTACTGACCAAAGGCAGCTGACATTACACTATCTTCATGGATGGGTCAATACAGTTCATTATTCTACTTTGATCGGCAGTGGCTTCCCCATATTCTAACACTGATGATTTTCCTGACACCTTCTCTATCTAGGGAAAGCCCTTTTAAATGGAGGCACAAGAAAATGAATCAAGGACTTCCCGAATCCAAAACCTGCTTTTCTCTGTAACGGATTATGTGACAGCTGTGATGCACAGCTCCTTGCTTCGCTCGAAGGAGAGCTGGGCCTCATGGGATAGACAAGAAAACAGTATTTAAGGGTTGCTTCTGCAGTCACCGTTACGTTTGTTGAGGAGGATAATAACTTCAAATGTTCAGGGATCCCTGGAAAGAAAACAGAGTTGTTACGTGGGGAACTGGGGGAGGCCGTCAAATGTCCACCTTCTCCACCACCCCCACCAAGGCCACAAAGCTGGTGTGGGACAGAATATGGCCTCTGAGGCCATATTCTGAGCAGTTTTTTCAGCCCTTGCCCACAAAACAACAAATGTTCTTCCCCCCCCTTTTTAAATTTTCTTTAAAAAACAGTGGCTCATTTAAATACAGTGGTGCCTCGCTTAGCGATGTTAATTGGTTCCAAAATAACATCGCTATGGGAAAACATAGCTAAGCAAAACACCATTTCCCATAGGAATGCATTGAAAACCGGTGCACTAACGATTCCAAGCATGTTAAAAAGTTTTTGAACATTTTAAGACACACTTAAAATAGCGAAAATGGACATCGCTAAGCAAAACAGGGGGACCTAAACTGTCATCACTAAGCAAAGCAAGGTCCCGAACATCGCTATGTGAAATTTCCCCATAGGAAACATCGCTAAACGGAGCGCAAGATCGCTCCAAAAACGTCATCGCTAAGTGAATACATCGTTAAATGAGGCAATCACTAAGTGAGGCACCACTGTACAGGCATATCTTTTTACAAAATGCATACTTTGGGAAGTATGTTAAGGTGTGGAGTCAAAAGGTTGGGAGTTCAGTTTCCTGCTGTGTTTCCCTTACAGAGGCTGGACTCAATGGTCCATGGGGTCTCTTCCACCTCCGCAGTTCTGTGGTGATGATTTTATTTATTTGTTTGTTTGTTTGTTTGTTTATTTATATCCTGCCTATCTGGTCAATATGATGATGATTATGATGATGAAAATAAGCATGTAACTGTCAAACACACATTTATACAGAATTTAGTACCTTTTGAACCAAAAACTAATCGTAAAAAAAATGGGAGACATGAAAAAACTGAACTGAGTTTCAAATCAGGAAGCATGAATTAGATTAATTCACTTAAATATGTGCTTGAAAAAACACAGTAGGACCTCCATATTGCAGGGGATCAACTCCCACCAAACTCTACCCATGTCACTCGTGCGAGCCAGGAGGTGAGGCTGAGGGGCCTGACGCTGAGGGAGGCCCAGAAGGAAAAAACAAGAAACCGGGCCTTCTCGGTGGTGGCTCCTCACCTCTGGAACAATCTGCCTCTGGAGATTTGCGCGGCCCCCTCGCTGGGTATTTTTAAAAACCAACTTAAACATGGATGTTCAGGCAGGCCTACCCCTCCAGTTAAGATCTGATTCTTTCCTTTTTTCTTTTGTGGTTTATTTTTCTTTTTCCCCCCTTTCTTTTCCATCTTGAAGCATTGCATATTTAATGTAATAACTCTCCTTTTTTATTATTTTTAATTATACATGGTCCTGCCTGTTGTAAGCCACCCAAAGTAGACAATGTCTAGATGGGCGGTAAATAGAATAAATAAATTAATAAATTAAATAAATAAATTCTAAGCCCCGGCTCGGCAGATGCTGAAAATGGTGGATTATAGAGACTATTTTGATTGCAAACTGGTCTCTGGCTCCCTCTAGTGGCCAGTTCTGCTGATGACATCATAGAAATATATTTCTCTAGTGAATTAAATATATAGCATGGTCTCTGACTCCCTCTAGCAGCCAGTTCTAGTAACCTCTTATTTAGAAATATATATTTCTAGGATTATTCCTTTAATATTTTTAATATTGTCAGATAAGTGAATCAGTGGGTACTGATCCTGCTGATACAGAGGTCCTACTGTATGCTTGAGCAATTGCTGATCCACAACTGCTGCCCAAGGTCTGAGCAAGGGAGCGTCTCATCCAGGAAGGGGAGGGAGAGACATCCTTTCCTTGTGTTGACTATCTCTATCCTTAAGCATTCCTAGCACCAAATTGCACTCATTTCACACGATAGCAAGGTTATGCTCAAAATCCTCCAAGGTAGGCTTCAGCAGTATGTGGACCGAGAACTCCCAGAAGTACAAGCTGGATTCCGAAGAGGCAGAGG